TAAAACTGTTTCTAAATTCATCATTAGAGTCCCGGTAACATGTTCTCCCTTTCCATCACCTGAAAAGTTGGCAAATATATGCACTGCACTATTATTGTAACAATCTCCATCCAACCTTGTAATGCATATCTCCATAGCACTTATACTACATAACAACATAAATCATTGCCACTGCACTAAACAGCATACGTAATTTTTAACAACTGTAGCCCGTCCCAACATTTCTTTAAAATATTGTAAAGGCAGACCACAAACAAAAAAGAGTAAATAAATAAGGATAATATATATGCAGAATTCAATGTGCACATGACTATATTGTGAAGAAATACACATTTTGAATGAGGTAGGATTGACAATGAACTGTCCTTTCAAAATAGATGTTGTGCCCTGAACAGTCAGTCCATGAAATTCTCACTGGAAAAGTCTAATGATGGATTTTTATGTTGACATTTCTTATATCCTCTTTTGTGCTTTAAGGATTTTGCACAACAGATTCCAAAGCAATCTAAACTAACGATACCTTTCAGTTTTCCTTAAAAATTCTGCTGACTCAGGACAGATCTAACAGTTACTGGTTCTGCTTAATATGTCACAGAAAGCATACAAAGTCAGGATAAAGCTAATTCAATAGAAGTAATGTCAAAGCAAAGCAAAAAAAAAAGGATCTCTTTATCTGTAGCTGCCACCAAGCTGAATGGTCCATAGAGATCCTCAGTGCAGACAATTTTTTTCCTCAGCAGTTTCTTCTAGCTTGAATAATCAAGCATTCTCTTTGAATTGCTGTTTAGACACTCTGTCAAGGCTTGTGTTGATTCTCCTACTAGGACTATTGTCAATATCTGAACATTCTCACCTTACCAACTCCTATTTCTTCTCCCAGAAAAAATGGTTTGCTCACCAGGATGACATGCCACACTAATTTTCAGTGATATGTGGTGTCAGGCTAATACACCATTGCAAACATTTCCGTTTCAATTCAAAAAACATGTCACTTCAGGGGTTCTCTAAGACTTTTGTTTTCTGCTTAAGTGTTGAATTAAGAATTCTCACACTTCACACTTCTCCAGCTATCATGGCAAAATTCAGTGCAGCTCTTGATTAAGTAATAAGACTCAAGGTAGTACTTGAAAAAATTGTTTGCAAAAATCACACACTGAATAAGCCATCATGGGGTTAACATTAAAAAAGCAAATGTTAAACTGAAAAGCAAGTTTGTGAGTATTCTTGCCCAATAATGTTTTTTCTAATGTGATTAAGGAAATAAATAAATAAATAGATAGATAAATAAATGCATACATAGATATTATTTAACGGTATGTCAGTGAACATCCCTCTGAATCCCTCATTGGCTACAACTATGGACTCGGACATACAAGAGATGTCAGATAAAAGCTTTCTGCTATAACTGGAGATAATATTAACAATGAAAATATCCTTAAACAATAACAACAAAGAAAAGAAAAAAAAAAAAAAACAGGAAAGATTATCTTCTAATTTTTTTGTCCATAGCTTTACATAACCTAAGTATTTATGGGTATCAGTACAGTTACTTTTCTTAGAAAAGTTTGTTTCCCTTAACTCTGAATTGCATATGAAACAGTATCTTCTGATACGTGCTTATACATTATACATTCCCCTTCAACTCTAATGCTTCTGAGTTAGTAATTATACATTTCATGTCTTTTAAATAAAGCAGAATTTCCAGGCTTTAGCCATTTGCCAGTCAGCAAAAGTTACTGCGGCTGTGAACTATTAGGGAGAATGATAATTCTCCTGGATATTCAGCCACTTTTGATCCTGTGAGTCTATCAAAATATTATCAGTATCTGTATTTTCTATAACACATTTCATCAAAATTCACTTGAGAACTCTTCACAGAGGAGGTAAATATCTTACACCATGTAAGAGAGAGAAGTCAAAACACAGGGAGGCTGAGTGGCTTCCCCAGATTTTTTCAGTGAGTCATTAGTGGGATTACAGCCTCAGTTTCTTGATGCTCTTTCCAAATAGTGCTACCTGTTCATAGTTAAGTCTTACTTCCTGCAAAGAAATCACTAACAATATAATGATATTGTAATTTTGGAATCAACAACACGTTCTTGGAGTAGGTTTTAAGAGATAGTTTTTATTAAAGTGCTGCTTGGTGTGCTAATTCTTATTAAGATGACCACCAAACAGATCACACGAGGCACATCAGTGCACATCAGTGCTATTTTCCAGCACTGGCCTCAGAATTAGAACTAATGTCAGTGAACAAGTGAACACAAGTAGCGAACCTAAATCCTGCCTAGAAGCAAGATACCATTAAAGAGGATTTTAGCTCTCTAGGTCACAACAGCAGGACCACAGAGTTCACAGCACTTTTAAAAAGTGTTTGAAATCACACAATGCAACAGTAGGACAGTTGCTATACTTGTTAGCTTTTACATTAAGATCTATTTATTTTAAATGATGTTTTATATTTTCCTTTCAGTTTCCACAGACTTTGAATTGGCAGAAGCAATTAGAGTAAAGCTATACAACGTATCAGATGGGCCATTTGAATTTTGTTGTGAAAGGAGTTAATTGTATTCCCATTTAAGCAGTCCTCTTCGTGTTCTGAGATTAACAAACCAATGAAGAAAAAGGACCATTCATGTTTTCTTTTGGCCAATGAAAAGCAACGGTATTTATTCATTTACACTTGGATCAGATGTATAAGGATTTACTTCTGTTTTTAAACTAAAAAGAATACCGTAGGACAAATTTAGTGATTACAGAATATGGTCCATGGATATCCTACAAGCACAAAAGAACAGATTAGATCCCATTTTTGAGTGACTGGGAAGATCACATTTAGGAGACAAGGGATTTCAACTCAGATATTTTCTTTTGAACAAGCATTTAAAAAGAAGGTCTGGTATATGCAGGAACTGAGACAAACCGCATATAAGTCCACACAGCCTTAAGTTAGAACTTCAATCACATCAAAATAAGTAATAAAGAATTAACCACTTTGGGCTATGTTACCAGAATTCCAATTTTTATTTCAAGTACTGCATTTTTTCATTGCACCTAATATGTTTTTTATTTTATTACAGTCATATGTTACAATACTTTAACACCAGAGTCCTACAAAAATTTCCTCCTTTAAACTGAATTAAATTCAAGCCCTGTGTGCTAGCAGGGAGAACCTGGCTCCATTGTTCTTTTACCTTTATATATGAAAGGTTTCCCATTACCACAACTTAGCAGGGAGGCAATGCCACTTGGCAAAAATAAAGTTACATTAAGTGCACTTGCTGGAACTGTTTATACTCTGTTCCCGAGAAATAGATTGAGTACTTGATAGTATAACACAATGAGAGGTACGGATGACAGAGCTCGGATGGGATGCTGGCACGGGGGGAGCGGGGAAGTGTTGCTACCCCAGGAATTTATTTTTAAAGTGTCTGCTATTTCATGCAATCTGGTCTATTTCAAAGGCAAACAATTTGCTCTTCAGAAGTATCTTTATGAGCCCCAAGGGATGAAACTCATCCCTGGCAGAAATGATTTAGCAGTATCCAGAGAGGGGGTGAACTCCTTGAGAGGCAAGAGAATAATTTTTTGAAGGGTGGCAGAATTTTAACAAGGGCCTCTAGTGAGTTCTTGTGAACCCCTTTCAGCACATCACTGTTTTATTAAAATATTCTTCTCAAAATACTGAAACACTGACAGCTCCTGTAAGCTTGCCAAAAATTGAGTAAGGAATAAAAATAAAATGTTAACTTGACATGTGTGAATAATTTTGATTTGATGATAACACCTTTTGGAATCGAGGCCATATTCAAAGCTGACTCGTAACACATTCACATTTCTAAGTTACATGAAATAACTCAAACTTTTCAGGCATTGTTCTGGTGTGGTAAAATGAGGAGATGTCAGACACTGTGCTCAAGCATTTTTCTGAATTAACTGAAGTTAAAAACATTTTAGGTCTTCTCATTTGACCCTAGAAAGGGCTAAAGGGCATATTTGGTGCTTGCAAAGCAGACTGGTTAATACTAGCTGCCTGGTTAGGGTAATAAACTGCCATCAGACAGATCAAGTAAACACCAAAAGACAGGTGACTTGTGTGGATAATTTTGAGATAATTGATTGCTAAATCAGAATACAGTGTTGAGAAGACATTTTAAGGAACATCCATACTGCAGTAGGATTTGGCTTGTGCTGTCTTGCATGGATCTGTTCCACCTCTACCTTCCACTTGGGAATCTTCCCACCACCAAGGACAGGCAAGGCAAAAAGGAAGCTCACTCACACAAATTTTATGAACCTCTTTGGGCAAATCCTTCAAACGTTTTGTGTAAAAATCTCTCTAACAAAGACCACGCAATTCTTTACACTCCCCATATCCTACCGCCATTCACACTAGAACCTCAGATGATGAATTTTAGTGTTGTAACATTGAACTGGCTTTATTTTCCCTCTGTTCCACTATACTGTTGTCCCTGCTCCTGAACTCTTGCTAAGTAAACAACACTTAATGACAGAAGGGCTGGCAGTGGAATGGCTGTCACCAATATTAATTTATCCATAAATCTTTGATCAAACACTGTGATCAGGAAAGCTGGAGAGCAAAGCTGAATGTGGAAAATAGCCTTAGACAGATAAAATATAAACTAATTCTACCATGAGCAGTGGTATTTCCTCCTGGCCATAATCAAGGAAACTCATCTATCACAGCAGTGGGGTTGCAAGTTTCTAGTAGAGTGTTTGTACCTAGAAGTCATTCTTTTGTGTGCAAAACAGAGAATTCTTAGGCATTGTATTTTTAGATATTCCTAAAAGGTATCTTTTAGGACCTCCTTTGGGACAGTTTCTCTTGTAGACACGGTTACTGCACACTATCTTTGGAGAGAAGTGACATTTATCTCCAACTCATGGCTTTCTCTTGGGTCCGCTTTGTAAGTCAAAGTGATAAATCAAGACCTCAGAGGTTAATTGATTGTGTAAAAACACATGTGACACAAACTCACCATCCTCTGTTTGGCTTGTATTCCTCTGCTTGACTCAGTCAGACTGTCTCCTTTTGGCTGATGAAAACCCTGATCGGGATAAAAACACAAGTGAACATTTTTGTTTTCCAGTGTCATGGCACATTTCCATTGCTTCACTGGCCCCGGTATGTATTTAATTTACTGTGGATCTGAAGCATAATTTTAGGATGAGAAGTATTTCTCTTTTTGCTCCTACCCAAAGCGTGAAAAAACATTGTTAAAGAGTATGAAGCAAGTGGGCAAACAGTTAATGAACAACTATTCCATGAGTGCAGGAGGTTTTATTTGCAGGGACCAAATTCAGCGGCTTTGTTTCAAAAAACAGTAATAGGCCATAGTGGTAAAAGTAGGAAAATGGGTAAATGAGGCACTCTGGACCATACTTAGTTATCATTTGGTGAACACTCAAGATCAATGTTAATGCATTTTAAAAGAACAGACTCCCCACTTAAACTGACTCCTGACTTTGAATGGTTCTATTTAGACATTCTTCTCTTTCCCATATGTACAGATTTTATGTTTGTCCCATTACTATATAGAGCATAAATCATGCAAAATGGGTGAGGAATGAAGACAATTTTAGCTGGGTTCAGTGAACAAGCTATACTGTCTCTCTTTTCCTGAATATAAAATGTTTGAGCTTTTTACATTATATGCATGTAAGCAAGTTAATGACATATTACAGCTGAAATGCCGATTCTCATCAAAGTTAGCAAATTGGACTTCAGACTCCTATTGGAAATAAACTCAGTTTGGTTACATTACAGAAGGTTCTTCAAATGTATGAAGGCATAATTTACAGAGGTTACAGAAATAGATGCCATTTGTCTGTACACTGTAGAAATGACAAGTTAGAAGATGCAAGCTCAGGGAGGATTTAAAATTTTTCTTAAGAAAATACCCAACAGAAACCCAGGCAATAGGAAATTTTGTCCCGTTCGCTGTTTCACAATCTCTAATTTTAATATCTTATCAGTTTTCCCAAATGCCATATTTGTCTGAAGTTCAGTTATCAAGTACTCCATCCTGATTAAATTTACTATTTCACTGTCTGTAATTAATAAACACTGTATTCTTTCTTCTAGACTGTATCTTCTCAACTGCTAATTTCTACTCTATTTTCATCTTTAATTCTATGATAAATCTTCTCTCTCTTTACTTCAAGATATTCTGGCATTTTCTTCCCTACAACCTTACCACCAATCATCTCTTTGTGCTCATCATGACTTGATAAAGTCCCATTTTTTCTCAAGAAGGATCAACCAGTCCTGACCAGCCCTTTACTTGAACTCAGAAATCCCAAATCCAGCAAACAGCTGCATGCACACTGACACAGCCAAGCACACAGCCACAGGTGGGCTTGGAACAAAACCTGCCCAGCTAGGCTTCAGGCCACAGATCATGGCACATGGCACAGATTTTCCCCACATTCACAGGGATAGGAGGAGACATTCACAGAGAAGAATCATTTTTCAGCAAATGAAGCAAATGCAGTTGATATGGGTGCAAGGACAGAGGAGCAGAAAGGCAATAGGCAGCATGCAGTAGGCAGGAGGGCACATCTTTGAGCCTACCACTGCAGACTGTGCCAGGAGCAGTACCTCACAAACTCACAGAATTGTAGGGGTTGGAAGGGACCTCTAGAGATCATCTAGTCCAAGCCCCTGCTAAATCAGGTTCCCGACAACAGGTCACACAGGTAGGCATTAAGGTGGATCTTGAATATCTCCATATTCTATATGAATAGACTCCACAACCTTTATGGGCAGCTTGTTCCAGTGCTCTGCCACTCTCACAGTAATGATAACAGCAAAGTTGTAACTCCCTGGCAAGAATGTAAAAGGGCTGAGAATCGGTTCCTAGAAAAATATCCTCGAAGCACATCCCATACCTCCTCAGAAAATAGGGAGGTTTGGCTCTCACATCGTTTTTTGATGAAAAGTTGTGCTGGTTTCCTGATCTGCTACTACCACCTCTCCAAATTTAGAATGTATGAAAAGATACCAAACAAGTATCAGAGCAAATACATGAAGTAAGCTATGACAAGAACCTACAAGTCCATCTTTCACTTGGCAACAATGTCCTGTATGCCCATGGACTGCAACAGAGGAGCTTACACCCAGTGCAGGGTCACTGCACCAACTGAGCTCCTTTGCTGCCACAGGACATCTTTGGAGTAACAGTAGAACTACATGAGTGCCTTCTGCTTATTTGTTTGTCTTGTGGATGCTCAAACTGTGCCACTCTCTAATATCCTAGTGGTCTAAAACCCAGGACAGAGCAGCCAAGACTTTTTCATCCCAAATGTTGACTCATAAAGGGCACAGAGAAAAGCAGTAGCATGTTTATCAGCTAGAATGAGATGTATATCTTGTTTCCACCTGCTCAGACTTGAAAGACATCACCTCTCTTTAGCAGCTCATCTGGCTGCTTCAGGCTCTGGCTTCAGGCCACCTCATGACGGTACATGAGCACAATTATGTTATCATTTCAAATGACAATTCATGACAAGCTGCTAGTAGGGTGATAGTCCTCCTTGCATGGTCCACGTCTGCAGATTATTATAAACACTGACTGTGAGACAAGGCTCAATGGTTCTCTCAGTCTTATCCATCCAAATATACCGACTTCACTGGTCTTTACTGGTCTAACTCTCAGAATTTGACCAGTTGCTTTCAGCCATAAGAAATACTGATGATGTGGGAAAATGTGTTTCAGTTAAAATAAGTCTATCTGCTGCCTCATTCTAATGCGAATTCACTGAGGCAAGTGACTCTGGAAGAGCTATTTGCAAAATATCTTCTAGCTTGTCATCTTATATAGACTAATTGAGCAATAGTGTTGCCAGTCATTGCTACTTAATTGTGTGATCACTGGAGAACACACAGCCCAGCAGCACACTCACGTCCAGGCATGCAACCTGCACTAAAGAGGTTATGCTGCCTGTCAGTGACACGAGGTACCCCAAACCTCCATAATGCTGGCCAAGTACAAATGAAGCAATCATCTGTAAACTATTTTTCTTATTATTTACATCTGTTTGTCAGTATAGCAACTCAAAGCAAAAGAAACGTATTACACAAACTGTATGGATTTTTACTACAATTTCTGATAGAAATTTTAACAGGCGAGAAGGACAAACTCTCTCCATGTGACCCAGATTTGAACGACACTGTTTGGAAATAGCTGATCTGAGAAATGTGAAGAACCTTTCCATCAAAACTTTGAATTCTCTGCTGCACAGGCACCTCAGTGGCTTTGGCTCTCACACAGTTCAGATTCCTTTCCAAGGAAAGAGCTGAGCCACATCCAAACAGCAGTGGAGGATCCACAGAGGAGGATGACAAAAATAAGATTAAAAATTAAAAAAATACATGTACATTTTGTAATAAATATACATATTTCCATTTTAGGTTCATTTCTGAAAAATCAGCAAGAGAAAAGGATTTTCAGAAAGGATTTGCCAGCGGGAACATAAAGTTAGGGTAATTATTTTTACATTATTATATACTGGTCTGTTTTGCCAAAGCTGTTGGTGCTGCAGCCATCCCATAATAACAGGCATTGAAGCAGAATACACTTTCACCCAGCCCGGACATTCAGCTGCAAACTCTGTGCTGGGAGTCAACCCTCCTAATTTTGTCTGTAGGCACAAAAAGCTAAGAGATAGTTCTTTGGCTAGGAAAAATTCTGTGAGCATCAGTAAACGGGAATAAAAGCTTAACTACTATCATTTTAGAAATAAACATGCTCATATTGGACCTCTAAGAGGCTATAATACACAGAACCTCCTCCATGAGCATTTCTGTATGAGGAGGAATAACACCAGGCTATGATACAAGGCACTCTTTCCAGCAGCATGCTGCAAGCTCAGTCAGTGCCAGATACAGAAATTTTATTTCTCTGGAAATACCTCTCGCTCACTATTTTGGGTAACTCATGGAAAACAACAGCTCTGTAGCACCTGCGCTTGCGATGGGGCTGCAGGCTGGGAGGCGGCCGGCTCCCCGGCCGGTCCCTGGTGCCACCTGGTGTCCGGAGCGCGCTCCTCGCGGCCCGCAGCGCCTCGAGGGGACGTAGGGCTCCATCCTCCCTGCCCAGCATGCACCGGCTGCTGCGGGGCATCTCTGCTCCACGGCCATCTTCCGTTCAAGGGTTCCAAAAAGATGCATTGATTTATTGATACCTTGTGCGGACTGACTAACGATGCATTTGTTTTGACCACATTACCCTGAATCCCTGTCAATGCAGCACCGGTGAGCTGAATTCCTTTCATTGCCTTTTGAGGCTGTCTAGATGGCAAGATGTGAGAGCTTACCACTATTTAGTGCCGATGACAACTGAGAAATACGTATCCCTTCTCTAACAAAAATGCACGGCAGAAAAAAGATTCAGGGCACACGCCTGCCAATCACTGGAAATTTGATGTATTTAAGCCAGCCACCTAATTTGCTTGCTGTTCAGAGGTGCTGAGCATTCAGCACAAGCGTTCTAAGTGTCTCAATATTGAAAAGATAAATACCAAGGACCCTATTTGGATATTGTGAATTTAGGTACCTAATTTTGGCCACGTGTTTTTTTAGGCATGGAGCTTTACATGAAAAGAAGCCTCTGCCTGACCCATATAGGGAACAAGGAAAAGATAAAAGAATGTGTCTGGGTTTTCTTTGTGTACATGGAGAGACTATACCATGTGCAGCACTGTTCTAACGTATGAAAAGAAATGTGGCTTTATATGATTACTTTATTTCTATATATTGCTTTAAATCTGTGTACTTTCGAGCTCTATCTAGGCTAGCAAGCAGCAATACTGTAGTGCCAGCAGAGCTGTTCTTCTTGTCCTTTAATCTGACCCAGACGAGAAACTACTAAAGATCTCACAAGGAAATCCAATCTTTGGAAATTACCAGCATGAATTCTCAATCAAATAGGCCGAGGTAACTTCTGATAAGCTTCTGAACCCAGCCTCCAAGGCTTTTGATGTTCATTCCTAGTATATAGTACCATCTATAACATTTGCTACTTCTACTCCCTGCAAGCATGCTTCA